TGGTTAAACATATAAGGGTTCAAAATCTGACTTTGGCATTTAACTGAATGCTCTGAGCCTCAGTTCCCTTTTCTGTAAAATGGAAGTCATTATATACTTTGTAGAATGGGAAAAAATTGGGAATAATGTTTTAATATACATGAGATAGTTTGTATAAATCCCTTAATGCGGTGCCTGGGTCATAACAGTTATTCAGTTAAATGGTCATTGTTGTTATACTCCATTTATAATCACCCAACATAGAATCATCAATCCAAATAGCCCAGTCCATAGAGAACAAACACCATCCCTGCCTAATTCTTCCTTGTTGATAATTCCTCTTCTTTTTTTCTCCATTTTCCTCTTCTCCCCATCAGTTGATTTATGAAGACTGTATGGATCTGATTGCAAAGCTACCTTGTGTTGCAGCAAAGATCTACCGAAATCTCTATCGAGAGGGCAGCAGTATTGGGGCCATTGATTCTAAGCTGGACTGGTCCCACAATTTCACCAACATGTTGGGCTATACTGACGCTCAGTTCACGGAGCTCATGCGCTTGTACCTCACCATCCACAGGTGAGGGAGACTCAGCAACCATAGCCACCAGGTGCCTGGATTGGTGGTGAATATAAAGAAAAACTCCTTGGGACTTCCCTGGCAGTCCAGGAGTTAAGACTCTGCGCTTCCACTGCAGGGGGGCGTGGGTTCCATCCCTGGTCGGGGAATTAAGATCCTGTATGTCACGCAGCATGCCAAAAAACCCCAAACTCCTTAACAGGTGGTAGGCAGCAAGGAGATGGAAACACAGCATATGGGATGGTACAAGGCAAGAACGGGGTCTGGTAAAGAAGGTCAGGAGGTCTAGAAAAATTACCATAACCACGCTAAGAGTAAGATAGTGCTTCTGGCTAGGAAAAGGTACTAGCTGCTCACATTAGACAAGTCCTTTGGCTTTCCAGGGGCTCCCTCTTCTGGCCATTGCTGTTAAAGCTGCAGTGAGAGTCAGGGAGCTTGGCACGCAGGCCAGGCATCATCAAGCAGTAACCTCTCCAGCCCTGTGGATTAGTGAACAAAGGCTGATAATAAGATTGGGACATCTCTTACAAGAGCTTATGTATAAGTGACTAGCTATAGGCTGGTGTGAATCCATAGCTAGGCTAGTATGTGACAATAAGAGAACAGCAAGGACTGTGTTTCAATAATCTGCCCCTTTTTTCTCCTTTCTCTTGGCCTTGATTCTCCTTTCTTACTTTCCCATAGTGACCATGAGGGTGGAAATGTAAGTGCCCATACCAGCCACTTGGTGGGCAGTGCCCTTTCAGACCCCTACTTGTCCTTCGCAGCAGCCATGAATGGGCTGGCAGGGCCCCTGCATGGACTGGCAAATCAGGTAAGACTGTTCTTTTTCTTCTCCTGCTCCGTGTTTTTCTTACTCCCATGCTTTGTTTCTGATCCTGGTGTTCTCTCCTGGCATATGCATTGACACTCTTTTATTCTCCAAACCTTACCCACAGGAAGTACTTGTTTGGCTGACACAACTACAGAAGGAAGTTGGCAAAGATGTGTCAGATGAGAAGTTACGAGACTATATCTGGAACACACTCAACTCAGGACGGGTAAGCAGAGATGCTTAGCAACTAGGAAAGAAGCCAAGACTCAAGTTCTATAATTTGGAAGAATGAAGGAGAAAAGAATAAGATAACTCCCTAAATTAGAGGAGATTTTTTTTTCCATTTGTCTACCCTAAAGAATGCAGAAAAGACAAAAATTTCTACCTGAGAATACAACTGGTTTTCCCCCGCTATCCTTTGCAGGTTGTCCCAGGCTATGGCCATGCAGTACTAAGGAAGACTGATCCACGATATACCTGTCAACGAGAGTTTGCTCTGAAACACCTGCCTCAGGACCCCATGTTTAAGCTGGTTGCTCAGCTGTACAAGATTGTGCCCAGTGTCCTCCTAGAGCAGGGCAAGGCCAAGAACCCTTGGCCCAATGTAGATGCTCATAGTGGGGTACTGCTCCAGGTGAGTCCTCCTTTCCCTGCTTCCCTCTAATTTATACCAAACCTTACTGTTCTCTGCCATGCACAAAATTAACTCCCTAGTCAGAGCAAGGACTCTCACACCTCCTTCCTTACCCTTTTGTTAAAGTTGCCTATGGTGGGGGAGGTATGGGCTGGAGGAAAGGGGTGCTTTCCTTTCAGAATCCAGTTGCTATACTTTTCCCAGTCATTTCTATTTAAGGCTAACTGGGTTAAGGTTTTTAATCAATCTGGACTTGTACATGCCACTACCTGTGGTCCTTTAACAAAACTTTTTTCTCTTTTACCTTACAGTACTATGGCATGACAGAGATGAATTACTACACAGTCCTGTTTGGGGTATCACGGGCACTGGGTGTATTAGCACAGCTCATCTGGAGCCGAGCCCTAGGCTTCCCTCTAGAGAGGCCCAAGTCCATGAGCACAGACGGTCTTATGAAGTTTGTGGACTCTAAGTCAGGGTGAAACTGAAGACTGGGAGGAAACTAGCTACCAGAAAGTGAGGGATCTTAAGAAAAAAAAAAGTATGATTTTGTTTCAGGGGGCTTCTAAAGACTTAAGATTAAATTGTATCTGAGGCACTGATGATAAGTTTGAGGTTAAAATATTAATTAAGATTTTAAAAGATGAAAAGTAACCCCTTCTTCCCTAACCAGCTCCTTTCCCCGGCCTGGTATGAGTTGCCTGTCAACTGTAGGATGACCAGGACTAATGCATGTGGTACGGGTTAGGTTTACCCGTGCCCCCACCCAATCTCCAGAGTGAGAATCTGGTTCCTCTTTCCC